GGTCCTCATTTTACCCACCTCGGAAGGATGGCAGGCTGAGTCAACCTTTAGCCGGCTAGATTTGAACTGCCGAACTGCAGATAACAGTCAGCTGAAGTGGCCTGCAGTACTGCACCCTAACCACTGCGCCACCTCGGCTCTGCATGCTGACAGTGAGAACAATTAATCAGTGGAACAAAATAGAATAGAATAACAGAGTTGGAAGGGACCTTGGAGGTCTTCTAGTCCAACCCCCTGCTTAGGCAGGAAACCCTGCACCACTTCAGACAAATGCTAAACAAGGAGAGGCACAACTAACACTCTAGAACTAAGGAGAAATTCCCTGACAGTGAGGATAATTAACCAGCGGAACTTCCTGCCCCCAGAAGTTGTGGATGCTCCACCAGTGGAAGCTTTCACGAAGAGATTGGATGGCCATCCGTCAGAAATGGTGTAGAGTCTCCTGCTGGAACAGGGGGTTGGGCTAGAAGACCTCCAAGGCCCCTTCCAGCCCTAGGATTCTAGGTTTCTATAATTCTAGGATTCTAGGTTTCTACCTTCTCCCCTTCCATGCCCAAGGGGAATTGGGAGCCATTCAGTCTTGCCCAACATGTGGGTCTGCAAAGACACCTACAGGGAGGGGTGCCTTGGTCCTTGGCGGCCAGAGGTGGCCTTGACTGGCTTCATTTAAGAATGATCGTGCCAAGACGTGGGCTTTGGAGGGTGCCACCAAAGTCCCACCTGAACATTGGGGCTCCAACCGAAGAGCCCTCATCCTTCCACTCTCACCAGCCACTCCCAGTCAAAGGTCCTACAAGAACAAGCCAGGCTGGCAGAGCTTCAGAGGAGCAGGAGTCCAGGACATCTGGAAGTCCTCAGCACCGGGAAAGCTGCCTTCTGGTCTACATCCCAAAACTAACTCAAGGCCTCCTCCCTGGCGCACGGACTCACAGCTTCTTCCTGGCTGGGTGCCTTCAGCTTCGGGTCTTGGTGCAATTCAGCTGGCTGCGTTTCCCTTCACCTTGAGAGCCTCTTGAGGTCAGGAAGTTGAGCTGCTGTGTCCGACTTCTGCCTTGCCTCCAGGTGGCTGTTCTCCCCACGCTTCTCCCCACAAGGGCCCTTGGACAGCATCCCACCTTCCTCCTTCGCCTGGATATGGGTTCCAGTCCTTCTCTGGTTTCCATCCACTTTTTTTGGACCTTTTCTGGGGTATCCTGGAACGACCAGGGGTCTACTTGATTCAGCCTCCTAAAGCAGAGGTGGGAAACCTTGGCCCCTTTAAGAGGTGTGGACTTCAACTCCCAGAATTCCTGAGCCAGCATGGCACCATGCAATCATTCTCATTCATATTGTCTCTCTCTCTCTGTGTCTCTCTCCCTCCCTCCCTCTCTCTGTATCTATGTCTCCCCCTCTCTTTCTATCTCCCCATCTCTCTGTCTCTCTCTCTCTCCATCTGTCTCTCTCTCTCCCCTTCTCTCTGTCTCTCTCTGTCTCTGTGTCTCTCTCCCTCCCTCTCTCTGTATCTCTGTTTCCCCCTCTCTTTCTATCTCCCTGTCTCTCTGTCTCTCTCTCTCCATCTGTCTCTCTATGTCCCCATCTCTCGGTCTCTCTCTGACTCTGTCTGTCTGTCTATTTCTCTCTCTGCCTCTCTCTGCCTCTCTGTCTCCCCCTGCTCTCTCTCTCTCCTAGGTCCTAAATGGGACCTTGGACAGTGGCGAAATGCATTTTTTACTACCAGTTCTGTGGGCGTGGCTTGGTGGGCGTGGTGTGGCTTGGCGGGCGTGGCAAGGGAAGGATACTGCAAAATCCCCATTGCATCACCACTCTGGGGCCACAGTCAGAGGTGGTATTTGCTGGTTCTCTGAACTACTCAAAATTTTGCTACCTCTTGTCCAGAACCTGCTGGATTTCACCCCTGACCTTGGAGGCCTTCTAGTCCAACCGCCGGCTCAAGCAGGGGACCCTCCACCATTTCCGACAAGTGGATGTCCGTCCTCTTCTTAAAAACCTCCAGTGATGGAGCACCGTCCCTCCAAGTAATTGTCCTCCCTTCCAGGAAATTTCTCCTTCATTCCAGGTTGCGTCTCTCCTTGACGAGTTTCAGCATTTGGCAACAGCAGCCGCACGGCTGCACAATCCCTTTCGATCAGCCGTTGCGAGAAACAAGACTCGCAAGGCTTGTCCACCATATGTTCTGCCTGCTGGATGTAACTTCCAGTCTAAAAAGGAGTAGAAATGATGGGCTGATTCTCAAGAACAAGCTGGCTTAATATACGATGGTTTTGCAAGTCGCTGAAAGACTTCTTTGGATTCCACCCCCATCTCTTCGGAGCCTTGTTCCAATATTTCAAAATCCTCAGTGACCAGCAGGATGGGATCCAGCTGATGGGCTGCCCTCCTTGGGGCCTTCTCCATCTATTTGGTCAACCCCAACCCACAAATCCTGGGGAGCCGAAGCGATGAAGTAGAGACCAGAGAGCAGGCATCTTACAGTTTTACAGGAACTGGGCCTGGCTAGTCAAGTGAAGAGAAGGACCAGGGGAGACAGGAGAGAAGACTCCCAATTTTGAAGGGCTGCTCCAGAGAGGAGGGGGTCGACCTGTTTTCCAAGGCACCTTTGAAGGGCAGATGAGGAAGAATGGATGGAAACTGAACAAGGAGAGATTCAACCTAGAAATAAGGAGAAACTTGCTGACAAGTGAGAACCATCAACCGATGGAACAGAAGTTGCCTTCGGAAGTTGTGGGAGCTTCATCACTGGAAGCTTTCAAGAAGAGACTGGACCGTCATCTGTCAGAAACGGTGCAGGATCTCCTGCTTGGGCAGGCGGGGG